AGGCGCATCCGGCCGATGTCTTCTTTGCTCAGCCAGGACGGGGCGCTCTCGCTGTAGATCCTGATGTTGCTCTCCCTGGCCTGGGGCAGCTGGAAGTCCGAGCGGCCACCTCGCATTCCCGGACCCTGTATCCCCCTCCAGGGTGGCCCCCCCAGGTTTCCCCTCTGGACGTGCCCAGGCACTTCAGCATCAGCCGCCCCCGCAGCATCCCGAGGCTGAAGGGATGGTCCAACCCAAGCCTCCGGCCCCAGGGCCGAAGGAGCCACCGCGTATTTCTTCCTGCGCTTGGGTTTCACCGTGCCACGGATGTTGGCCGGCTTGCTGCGCTTGGAGCGCAGGGTGATGTACACCACGTTGGGCTGCAGCGTGCTCCCATTGCCCTGGGGCTCGGGCGGGGCCAGCGTTCCATCCAAGGGTATCTCAGGAAAGGGAACCTCAGCGGGGTCGCGGCCGAGGTGCGGGCCCTTGCCGGCCGGCCCTCCGTGCTGGACGGAGGCGCGCCCCACCTGGCTCACCAGGAAGCCCAGGTAGATGGCGCAGGCGGTGCCCAGCAGAAGGTTCCTCCGGGTCCTAGGACGCCGGCTGCTCCAGAGCTTCCGCGCCCGCGGGACGCACAGGGAGCAGAGGAACCAGTTTATGAGTTGCCCTGGCTTGTCCGGACAGGTCATTTCTCGGCCGCATCCACATGGTGAACAGGGTTGAAAGTCTGCAGTTGGCTCCCGCTGACGGGAGGCATGGTTTCCTGAATGCAGCTGTCGCCTCCGCTTGGGTCTCTAAGTGGTCTCCAGTGGGCAGAGGTGGACGCGAAGGGTGCGTGATGGAGCCGGGAATGTCTCTGACACTGGCCGCAGCCGACCTTTTAAACTTCTGTCAGTCTCCCCCAAAAGAAATGTGGCTTGTTCCTAAGAATGAATGGAAACGGACTTCATTAACTGAGTCACCGTCTCAAGCTAGTCCAGTTCCTCCACAAGAGGAAAGGAAAAAGTGGAACCCTTTTCTGTCATCACCATCACCGCCAGATCATTTTTAAATGAGGTTTAAAAAATAGAAACAAGATGGTTGTATAGATTTGTCCTTCAGTTTCAATGAGTGAAAACAAACCACTAACATCCAAGGGCATTTTATAACTTGTAACTAGACTCATTTAATTTGATCCTGAAGGCAAAGTGTTAAAATTCAGCAAATCCAGATTTTTCTTTTTTGAAAGTCAGAAATAATTTAAGACCAGTAACAAATAGTTTTTTTAAAAAAAAGAAACCTATAGCTCTCTCACATTTATTTTAAAAAGTCCTGTGTCCCAAAAAGCTAATTGGGAAGAAGTAGCAAGTATTCACATGCAAATTCAGAAACATAATCTCTTCATCGGATGGTACCATCCTTTTTTTCATAATAGAGTCCCTTATCATATATTGAGTTATTATAATGTAAAGCCACACATGCCTACGTATCTTGGAAGCAGTTCCATGTATTCATCCACAGACGCACACACATAAACGCAAAACACACATCAAACTGCTTTTTATTTCTTTTCTTTCCACCAAAGTCGGCTGAAAGAAAACAAAAACCTCTCCAGCTCTATTCTGTCACATTATTAGAAAGAACAAGGGCTGATAAGGACTTACTTACACGGCTGGCCCGGTGCTTGGCTCCAGGAAGAATGCGATCCCTGACTCTAATGCAAAGAACTTTTAAAGGCTGAGGCATGTAAGTAGAACATACTTCAAGGTCAAGAGTGTCCCACATTTCAAATAGCTCAGCTTTCAAAAGCGTCCTTGAAAATTACTGACTGCAAAGCAAAACAGCTACTTCTTCACTGGCGACTGACAACTCACTTTTCAGACGTGTAAGGTTTGAGGGTTTTTTTTTTAATAGTTTAAGCAATAAACTTTAATTTTAAATTCTGGAAAAAACAAATGCCGTACAGAAGCAGTTTTCATTCAGATCTTTTTTTCCCATTGATTTTTAACCCCTGGGAGCCCTCTAGCGTCCTGTTTGGAAACAGACTTGGAGATGAGAGTCTCTTGGAGTTAAAAGGGATTGAGAGTTTGCTCAGCAGCAGTCTGAATGCCACCAGCTCTCTGTCCATCCCGGTTGCCCAGGATTACAGTGCCCCAGTTCTCAGGGACTCACCTTTCCATCCTGGCCGCGGGCAGAGTGACGTGGGTGTCCCACCCCTTCTGAGAAGCGTAGGTCTAGAAGTTCATAAAAAGGTAAGAAAGGGTTAATGCAAATGAGGGGAAAAAACAGAACCGAGAGGTAAGAGTGCACATGGATGGGGAGAGACGTTTATAGTGTTGCCTCTGCCAGGTGCAGCAGTTCCCAAGAAGTTGTGGATCCTCTCTGATTGGAGGGTTTTTTTTTTTAAAAAAAAAAAGGTTAGTGATTGGTTTAGGTGGTTTGTGTGTCCTGGCACAGAGGCAGAGTTGATAACCTCTGGTCTCACTTAGATTTTCCTTCTACAGCAAATAGAATCTGGACGGCAGGGCAGGACGGGGACAGGAAAGGTTTTCCCACCGGAAAGGAAGGTTGTGCTATGGGGGTGGGGGGCAGGTAAGGGATTGGGGTGTGGTGTGCAATTCTAACAAGTTTGCCTTTTTACGATGCAAAAAAGGGTCAAGGTATTGGAATATAGAGGGAAAGAATGAATAAATTTCCAAGTGTAAAATACCAAATATTGTAACAGAACTGTTACTTTAGCACTCTTAAACGCAGACCTTTCTCCCTCTTGACAAGTTCTGCCACGTGGAGGAAGAAGAAACAATTTCAATATTGACACAGGCCTGGAAGTACTTGTCGATTTTGGTTAAACTTCATGAGAAGTTAAGCATCCAGTCAATTTCCTTGGTGTTCCAGTACTCTTAAGGAACCCTTCTCTAAGCACAGAATTATTTTCTAGCTAGTGAATATTAACTTCTGCAAAGGAAACTGTCTCAAGGCTGGTTTTTCAAACTATCTTGTTGTTTACATATCTTCCGAAGAATAACTGACCTGACTCTAAAAATTAAAATTGTCTTTGGCAGAGACTGGGTTATACTAAACAGAAGCTTCCACCAGCTGTTTCTAAAGCAGTTTTTTGTTTGTTTGTTTGTTTGTTTGTTTGTTTGGTGAAGAAATGCTTAGGAAGTAGATAAGAGCTGTCAAGTTGGTACATCTGTTGACTGCACCTCTCCCCCCAACAAAATGTCTTTTTATTAAAAGGCCAATATATCACCTCCCTTCCAGCCACAAGAGGGATTAGCGGAGGCTGAAGAGGGTAATACTTAGGGAAAGGGCTTCAGAAGGTGAGGCATGGCTTGGAGTCCCACCCTCTCGCTTCCTGGCTCTGGTCCTTCCTGCAGGCACAGGAAACCCACCTCCTCTCTAGCCTCATTTCCTTTGTCGAAGAGACGAATGATGGTCGCACTTACCTCGTGGGTTTCTTGGGACGCCTGAGTGAGACAATGGTGATAGGATGAAAATTTGGAGTGTTTTTGTCCCTGACACCGTATTGAACTTCTGGGAGGCCCTTGTCCCAGCACATACTTCTTGACAGGGAGTCACCATTGCACCAAGGGGATGCTGTCTGGTAGAGTTAGGAACCAGTTCATTGACTTATTGTTGAAATATGAAAGGACCCAGAGATTAGCATACTAAGTGAAGTAATTAGATGGAGGAAAACGAATATCATATGATATCACTTATATGTACAATGTAAGAAATGAGACCAATGAACTTATTTACAAAAGAGAAAGAGACTCACAGCCATGGAGAAAAATTTATGGTTACGAAGGGGAGAGGGAGAGGGGAAGGATAAATTGAGAGTTTGGGACTAGCAGATACAAGCTACTACTACATAAAATAGGTAAACGGCAAGGCCCCACTGTATAGCACAGGGAATTTTATTCAATATCTTGTAATAACCTATACTGGAAAAGAATATGAAAATGAATATACATGTAACTGAATCACTATGCTGTACACCAGAGTATGTATATGGATGACTGGGACACCGTGCTGTACACCAGAAATTGACACATTGTAACTGACTGAATAAAATAAATAAATAAAGTAATCAAATAAATGAATAAAAAAAACAATAAAAATAAGAAAAAAAAGAGACCAACAACATTGTAAATCAACTACACTTCAGTTTAAAAAATATAATTATTGGTGTTGCTAGTATGTTGATATTACAAATACAATGCAGAAACCATGCTCAGCAGATATAATCAGAAACCAGTTTTAATCATTCTCCCCACTGCTCTGTGGACCTAGTAGCTCTTTTCAACTCCTTTGGATAAAAACTCAAGCAGGACTTCCCTAGTCGTATTGAGATTTTTAAAGATTTCTCTGGTCCTTTTTGTCAAAGACACACACCTAATCAAAAGTTGGATTCTACATAATGGTCAAGATTTTCAAATTTCTTTTAAATTTAAAGCATTTCCCCTGTCTGGAAGCTAGCTGTCCCTCAAAAAGTATGGCCGAAAGCTACTGAAAAAGGGGAGAGGAAATCCATCTAGGATTATTTCTTCTGTCTAGGGCTTTATTCCTCATCCACCCACCCACTCACATCACTGAGCCCAAGCATGTACTGCTCACTGCACAAAGGTCAGTAAATCAAGGGATGAGGTGTTGGGACAAGGAATAATGATTTTATTCAGAAAGCCGCAGGTCGAGAAGATGGTGGACTAGTGTCCCAAAGAACCATCTTCCCTGAGTTAGAATTGGGGCTTCCTTTATACTCAAAGGGGAGGGAGTAAAGTCAAATATTTCCTGGCTCCAGTCAGCCTCCAGAGGGGCCGTGTTAATTTCTCCCTTCCTGCATCCATTCCCAAGTGGGCCTGGTCAGATGTTTCCTGTGAGCTAAAAACAAAGATATTTTAGCTTAATGCTCATTATCTAGGAGACAGGCTTCCCAGAGATGCACCATTATGTATAATTTAAGCTTATAGGCTACATCCCTTAAGTGATGAACTGGAAGCAAAAGCAATAGATACAAAGATCAAAGTGAAAGAAATGGATCCAACGTGGAGTCAGACTTATACTTCCCTGTTACAGTCACTCCACTTTAAGTTTGGCTCCAGCTCTTTTGGAGTCACAGGGTGGTGGGGAGGGAGGGGTGGGATCAGCAGAAATGTTCCTGCTACTCCACTGTCATTGTTGTGAACGGGCATACCGGCTCTCAGGGTGCAGCAGGTGTATAAAGCTGACCTTTGGAGACATTTAGCCATCATGTTGAAGATCGCTGTCTCCTTGGCTGGCTGCTGGTGCCTTGGAATCCGGCAGCCCACTGTTCCACGGAGACCGCCTCATTTCTTCAGGCTGTTCTCTTGGGAAGCATTTAAGATGACCAGAAGGCTGGCTTCCTCACTCGGGCCTGGATGTATCGTCCACAAGAGGTCCAACGGACATGGTCCTCACCCTTCACCCCAGCAACCTTAGGCTCCCCAGCACTGCAGCCTCCTTCCCTGGGCGCGTTTGGCAACAGGACCACATGTTGCTCGTGGTCTCTGCTGAAACTGACTAGAAAGGTATCATGAGACTCAAGAGAAAAATTTCATTTAGTTTTGGAAAAATCAGGCTAAATTCCTTGCATGACTAATGGTTCGAAAATCTGTTGCCACAATAGAAGTTTCAGCTCTGCCGTGTGAGTACACGTAAAACATTCAAAGCATTTGTTATCGTTACAGCTATTATTAACTCCGAGTGACTGATACACTAATCCTCATACCTAACATATTTTCTCTCCACTAAAAAAAAAATCTTTGGGGAAAACAAATTGAAGAATAGACCATAAGATAATGGTCTGGACCATTAGAATAACCTGAGAATTTTGATACAATTATGGAGGTGATGGTGGAGAAGAAACATGGGCAGGGTCTGGGGCTGGTGGTGATGCTCTTGACCCAGATGGTATTTATTTGGGGATAGTTCATTGGCTGTCCATTTATGATTGGTGCACCTTTCTCTCTCTCTCTCTCTCTCTCTCTCTCTCTCTCAATCTATATATATATATATATGGCTATCTCTTATCCTTTAATAAAACTGAAAGAGGTGGTGGGTAAACAAGAATATTCTTTATAGCATGTAGACATACGCTAAATCCCTTCTAGAAAGACAGTGGAAAAATAATCATTTTTTCCATCTTTTTTACTTGCAGTGAAGAGCTCATACTTTCATCATTTAAAAATTCAGTGAAGAGGTTAAAGAACAATGAAATCGCTGAAACTTTCAGAAGCAGATAGATGCCTAGGTCCCAGCTGGCTCCCCGGAGATTCCCATGTAATGGGTGTGAGGTGGAACCCCCAATCCATTGTTCGAAAAACGTCTAACATGCAGGGTTATGATGCGCTCTTCTAAAAGTTAAGGGGCTGGTTTCAGGAGCAAATTAACACCTTTCTGCAGGCAAGTGATAAGTCATAGGTTTTCCTGGCAGGGAAATAATTTTTAAATCCTTCCAGGCTTCCAGCGGTGAGATCCGAGTGTGGGAAAGATGCTTCTCTTTCAACCTGGGAGCACTCCAGGACCAGATCCGACGGTGGGGAGGGCTCCAAGTTTCCCACCTCAGAACAGTCTCCTTTCCCCAAGTGTCCACCGTGGCAGGGGTACTGCTCCCTGCAGCTGCGGCCTCAGGCCCGCCCCTCGGAGGCATAGGTAAGGCCTCCGGCCCCTGCAAAGCTAAGTTGTAAGCTCCTCCTTGCTGTGGTTGGCTTAGGCTTGTTACAGATTGCAGATCTACAGATGGATGCTTTGTCTCCACTCTGTGCTGATCAGACCTGCCCGCTGGGTCCCTAACCCTTGCCCACCGCCCTCCTGACCTCTAGGACCCAGAGCCCCTCTAGACCTCTAATCCTGGCTTAGCCTCAGTCCTTGGGTATGACTTCTGTCCTGCTTGTCACGTGGAATCAGCTAATCCTCCCGCAACCCACTCTCACACCAGGCCTGGGCAGCAGCCAGCTAGCCTGGCGTGTCACTGAAAAACTCTTAGCCCTGTCATCTTGGAAATTTTCTTACAGAGATGTTTAACTGGCACCAAGACGTTGACCATTCCTTAAACAGCGCTCTACATCATACCTGTCTTTAAAACCATAAAAAGAAATTGCAGCTATTGTGTTACGTTTTATAGAAATATGTGCACCTGCATCTGGCACCTGATGACTTGCTCCTTAAAGACATTTTTCCTGTTGACCTACACTTTTCCCAGGGCCACCACATCTGCTTTCCGTAGGAGAAGCACTTCCAGAGAAAACTCCATGTCTCCTCAGAGCTAGCCTTACAACTCTACGGAGG